ACAGAACTATACTCAATACAGAGGTATACATAATACAGAACTATACACAGTACAGAACTACACACACTAGAGAACTATACACAAAACAGAACTACACACAGTGCAGAACTACACACAGTGCAGAACTATGCACTGTGCAGAACTATACTCAATACAGTACTACATACAGTACAGAACTATAAACAATACAGAAGTATACACAATACAGAACTACACACAGTACAGAACTATACACAATACAGAACTACATACAGAACTATACTCAATACAGAACTATACACAATACAGAAGTATACACAATACAGTACTACATACAGTACAGAACTATACACAAAACAGAAGTATACACAATACAGTACTACATACAGTACAGAACTATACACAAACAGAAGTATACACAATACAGAACTACATACAGTACAGAACTATACACAATAAAGAAGTATACACAATACAGAACTGTACACAATACAGAAGTATACACAATACAGAAGTATACACAATACAGAACTGTACACAGTACAGAACTATACACAATACAGAAGTATACACAATACAGAACTATACACAGTGCAGAACTATACACAGTACAGAACTATATACAATACAGAACTATATACAATACAGTACTACATACAGTACAGAACTATACTCAATACAGAAGTATACATAATACAGAACTATACACAGTACAGAACTATACACAGTAGAGAACTATACACAATACAGAACTACACACAGTGCAGAACTACACACAGTGCAGAACTATACTCTATACAGTACTACATACAGTACAGAACTATAAACAATACAGAAGTATACACAATACAGAACTATACACAATACAGAACTACATACAGAACTATACTCAATACAGAACTATAATCAATACAGAAGTATACACAATACAGAACTATACACAGTACAGAACTACACACAATACAGTACTACATACAGTACAGAACTATAAACAATACAGACTATACTCAATACAGTACTACATACAGTACAGAACTATAAACAATACAGAAGTATACACAATACAGAACTACATACAGAACTATACTCAATACAGAACTATAATCAATACAGAAGTATACACAATACAGAACTATACACAGTACAGAACTACACACAATACAGAACTACATACAGAACTATACTCAATACAGAACTATAATCAATACAGAAGTATACACAATACAAAACTATACACAATACAGAACTACATACAGTACAGAACTATACACAATACAGTACTACATACAGTACAGAACTATACTCAATACAGAAGTATACACAATACAGAACTACATACAGAGCTATACTTAATACAGAACTATACTCAATACAGAAGTATACATAATACAGAACTATACACAGTACAGAACTACACACAGTAGAGAACTACACACAATACAGAACTATACTCAATACAGTACTACATACAGTACAGAACTATAAACAATACAGAAGTATACACAATACAGAACTACATACAGTACAGAACTATACACAATACAGAACTACATACAGAACTATACTCAATACAGAACTATACTCAATACAGAAGTATACACAATACAGAACTGTACACAGTACAGAACTATACACAATACAGAAGTATACACAATACAGAACTATACACAATACAGAACTACATACAGAACTATACTCAATACAGAACTATAATCAATACAGAAGTATACACAATACAGAACTGTACACAGTACAGAACTATACACAATACAGAAGTATATAGAACTATACACAATACAGAACTACATACAGTACAGAAACTATACACAATACAGTACTACATACAGTACAGAACTATACTAAATACAGAAGGATACACAATACAGAACTGTACACAGTACAGAACTATACACAATACAGAAATATACACAGTACAGAACAATACACAGTGCAGAACTATACACAGTACAGAACAATACACAGTGCAGAACTATACACAGTGCAGAACTATACACAATACAGAAGTATACACAATACAGAACTGTACACAGTACAGAACTATACACAATACAGAAGTATACACAATACAGAACTATATACAATACAGTACTACATACAGTACAGAACTATACTCTATACAGAAGTATACACAATACAGAACTACATACAGAGCTATACTTAATACAGAACTATACTCAATACAGAAGTATACATAATACAGAACGATACACAGTGCAGAACTACACACAGTAGAGAACTATACACAATACAGAACTACATACAGTGCAGAACTACACACAGTGCAGAACTATGCACAGTGCAGAACTATACTCAATACAGTACTACATACAGTACAGAACTATAAACAATACAGAAGTATACACAATACAGAACTAAATACAGTACAGAACTATACACAATACAGAACTACATACAGAACTATACTCAATACAGAACTATACTCAATACAGAAGTATACACAATACAGAACTGTACACAGTACAGAACTATACACAATACAGAAGTATACACAATACAGAACTATACACAATACAGAACTACATACAGAACTATACTCAATACAGAACTATAATCAATACAGAAGTATACACAATACAGAACTGTACACAGTACAGAACTATACACAATACAGAAGTATATAGAACTATACACAATACAGAACTACATACAGTACAGAACTATACACAATACAGTACTACATACAGTACAGAACTATACTAAATACAGAAGGATACACAATACAGAAATGTACACAGTACAGAACTATACACAATACAGAAATATACACAGTACAGAACAATACACAGTGCAGAACTATACACAGTACAGAACAATACACAGTGCAGAACTATACACAGTGCAGAACTATACACAATACAGAAGTATACACAATACAGAACTGTACACAGTACAGAACTATACACAATACAGAAGTATACACAATACAGAACTATATACAATACAGTACTACATACAGTACAGAACTATACTCTATACAGAACTATACACAGTACAGAACTACACACAGTAGAGAACTATACACAATACAGAACTACACACAGTGCAGAACTACACACAGTGCAGAACTATGCACAGTGCAGAACTATACTCAATACAGTACTACATACAGTACAGAACTATAAACAATACAGAAGTATACACAATACAGAACTACATACAGTACAGAACTATACACAATACAGAACTACATACAGAACTATACTCAATACAGAACTATACTCAATACAGAAGTATACACAATACAGAACTGTACACAGTACAGAACTATACACAATACAGAAGTATACACAATACAGAACTATACACAATACAGAACTACATACAGAACTATACTCAATACAGAACTACATACAGAACTATACTCAATACAGAACTATAATCAATACAGAAGTATACACAATACAGAACTACATACAGAACTATACTCAATACAGAACTATAATCAATACAGAAGTATACACAATACAGAACTGTACACAGTACAGAACTATACACAATACAGAAGTATACACAATACAGAACTATACACAGTACAGAACTATATACAATACAAAACTATACACAATACAGTACTACATACAGTACAGAACTATACTAAATACAGAAGTATACACAATACAGAACTGTACACAGTACAGAACTATACACAATACAGAAGTATACACAATACAGAACTACATACAGTACAGAACTATACACAATACAGTACTACATACAGTACAGAACTATACTAAATACAGAAGGATACACAATACAGAAATGTACACAGTACAGAACTATACACAATACAGAAATATACACAGTACAGAACAATACACAGTGCAGAACTATACACAGTACAGAACAATACACAGTGCAGAACTATACACAGTGCAGAACTATTCACACTGCAGAACAATACACAATACAGAACTATACACAGTGCAGAACTATACACAGTACAGAACTATACACAATACATAACTATATACAATACAGTACTACATACAGTACAGAACTATACTCAATACAGAAGTATACATAATACAGAACTATACACAGTACAGAACTACACACAGTGCAGAACTACACACAGTGCAGAACTATACACAGTGCAGAACTATACTCAATACAGAAGTATACACAATACAGAACTATAATCAATACAGAAGTATACACAATACAGAACTATACACAGTACAGAACTATATACAATACAAAACTATACACAATACAGAACTACATACAGTACAGAACTATACACAATACAGTACTACATACAGTACAGAACTATACTAAATACAGAAGGATACACAATACAGAACTGTACACAGTACAGAAATATACACAATACAGAACTACACACAGTGCAGAGCCATACACAATATGGAACATTACACAGTACAGAACAATACACAGTGCAGAACTATACACAGTACAGAACAATACACAGTGCAGAACTATTCACACTGCAGAACAATACACAATACAGAACTATACACAATACAGAGCTCTACACAATACATAGCTATACAAAATACAGAAATATACACAATACAGAAATATACACAGTGCAGAACTCAGACAAGACACCAACTTCAGCTTTGTCAAATTTCTTTGTGAAAGTCCTTTCTAATACATGACTCTCTCTCAATACGAGTTCCCTGTACTGACGTTGCTGAACATCAGACACTGCGGGAATTTGAAAATTATGACAGTTGTTCACACGTCAGTATCAAATGGTCAACAGCATTTTTCACACACTACATGTACACAAATGTAGCATAGCAAAACTATACACAGTACAGAAGTATACAAAACACAGAACTATACACAGTGCAGAACTACACACAGTGCAGAACTACACACAATACAGTACTATGTACAGTACAGAACAATACACAATACAGAACTATACATAATACAGAACTGCACACAGTACAGAATTATACACAATGCAGAACTATCAGTGTATCTTCATTGTTCCCATCTCTCCTCAGGAAGGGAAGTGTAGGTTTGATCAACTGAAAGCTTATGCTACCTGCATCGACTACAGGATCCTGCCCAGTGAAGATGAGCATTATCTGCAGTATATTGTGGGCTCAATCGGACCTGTTTCTGTAGTCATAGACATCAGCCGTCACACTTTCCAGCTCTATGAGTCAGGTAACCTCAATAACCAGTCGTTCCTATGAGCTGCCTGTGTTATCTGTGTGTAACAGTGAGGAGTTTAAAATGGAAATTTCTGCATAATTCAGTCACTTAGAGTAATTCAGAGTGGTTTGGTCTGAAATGGTTGGGTGTAGAGACTCATATGTCTTTACAGTGGTGGTGATGGGAACCAGGGGTCTCCATGACTACAACACAAATATAGACATTTTATTTACTCTCCTTAGCTACAAATGTGGTTACACATGTCTTCTGAGTTTTATATGGAATGTAAATTTCTTGTATCTTTTCACCATGAATTGATTTTTAAAAATCTTCTCAGAACTTTCATAAAACAATATCTCAGACATCAGACAACAAATTCATAACCATCTCTGTGAAGGAGCTTTTAGAGGTGGACGTCTGGTTCCTATCACTACCACTGTGAACAATTCTGACTTGGTAAGTTTCTCTAGAACAGAGCATTTCACGCCATACCACTCTGAATGACTCTGTTTACATATTAACTGTTTAATTATGTAGGAATTGGTGGAATTTTAGGCAGAAAGATACTCATAAAATCTTCTTGTTGGGGCAAATCCAGGAATCAAGGATGTAAGCACTAGCACATTTGGATTCAGAAAACTGAATTGAATGGTTTTAACTGGTAGTTCATCTGTCTGCTGTTAAAGATTCAAGATTTGAGATTATTTATTTATTTAGCACTTTTTACGACAAGTGTTGAAAGGTAGCATGTTTGATTAATTTATTAATGAATTATTCTATTAATATCTGTACACCTTGACTGATGGTTGATGCTCTGATTGATTGTAGGTGTGTATGATGATCAGTACTGCAGTAGTGCTCACCTGAATCACGCTGTCCTGGTTGTTGGTTATGGCACTGAAGGCATCGGACAGGAATACTGGCTGGTCAAGAACAGGTAAAAGCAAAAGAAAGTAAAGCATGAAAAAGCAATTCCTAACTTGGTCTATACCCTTAAACTTCAACTGTCCGTGTGTGGGTGTCTTCAACTGTTCATGTACTTAGGGGGTGCTTACACGTTGCTTTCTGCTCAGTCTTGAGTCTTGAGTATGCCGACATATGCATGTCTCTCTGCTGAGCTGGTAATAGTATTCTCTCGGGTTTCAAGTTCTTTGTTAAAATCTGGGTTCTCTCTCAGTGCCTTTCCTTGTGTAAGTATTAAACACACACACACACCAAAAAAAAAATAAAAACAACTTTGAGTGTCCTTTTCAGTTGATTATTTTTACCCTTAGTTTTCTGGAACTCTTTCATTTGAAGACACTGATCTGGTGTTTCTTTTGTTTGGCCTTAGCTTGCCCTTTTGTTAATCAACTCTTCCATGAGGAAGAGAGTATATCATTGCTGCAGTAGCTCAGCAGTAGCACACTCATGCTATGTTGCGAGGTTGACAGTTTGTGTTTCGCCCAATATAATCTTGCTTTTCTCTTTCTTTCTCCACCATTTTGAGTCTCTACCGCTCTGCACTTGAGTCCGTCTCTGTGCGTGATCGATGGCTTATTCCATAGCTCGCTGAGTATCTATCTAATGCAGGGGTTTCCTGTTCAATCCTCATGTGGGATAAGCCAGACACCATGTTACAGTGAACTCTGAATAATTCATGGTAGGTGCTGAATAATGAGACAAAAAGCGACGGTTCAACCAAAAATTTGATTTACGCAATTTCCCCTTCAGCCCAAACGTAGTCAGAGGCTACAAGACTAAGCTTATACTCCACCAATTAGCACCCTCACACAATTAAATTAAAGCACATTGAGTTGTTCAGTAATCTTGAACAGACCTGCTTATGTGGTTTTTATCTAAAAATGATGTATTGTTAGAAACAGTGGCATATAAAATTTTGTCTGTACTTTAGTCCATGTTTATAGATACCAATGTGTCATTCTGTGTCAAAAAAACAATTAATGAAGTCTATTAGAGATACTGAACAACCCCACATGGTCAAGGAATGCTGTTAGCACCATGCTAATTAAAGCTACAATAAGCTTCCAGTACTTGGTATATCATGTGTGACAGTACAACAGAAACCAGACGCTTGCGGATGGAAAGTTGAGGACACTTTAGTCACCAACAACAAACAGCACAAAAAGTGCAGAACAAAGTCGTCGTCGTAAAACAGGCAAAAGGTCAAAAAACACAGATCAATCAGTAAAGGCAAAAGTACCGAAGGGAAGAAGCAAAATACAAATACCGGGCTTATATACTACTAGTTCCTTGTCTCATGAAAATACATACAGGTGAAAGCAGTTAGTATTCCGGTGATTGTGAGCGCTGATAGGAGCGTTCGCAAGAGTCACTGGTCACGTGAGCCCCCACTGCACCATGGGCAATGGAGTCTTTGTCGGAATCAAAGTCCGTGTTCGATGGCCGAGTCACATGATCTCCCATGGGATTCTGGGAGATGAAGTCCGTTTCATGAGAGCATGCCGTAGGCGTGACATCTTGGATGATCGGTGAAATCTTGAATGAGGTCAAATGTATGGAAATTAATTTTAACTTGACAGCCTTTAAGATTAATAACTATATATGAAAGTTGCAGTTTAATGGGGTTTACCTAAAAGCAAAATAGGACTCTAAACAACAAATATCCTATTTATATCTTAAATATCCTATTTATTTATTTATTTTGCAGCTGGGGTGTTACCTGGGGTGAAGGAGGCTACATTAAGATGTCCAGGAACAAGAAAAACCAGTGTGGTATTGCCACAAATGCTGTCTACCCTGTGGTTTAAAGGTATAACTTCATTGCAGGGGTTCCATTCTCCATCCATAGAGACCTACACTGCTGGGTTTAGTTCCAGCTGTGTTTACTTTTACAGCAGAAAAAAAATATTTCAATGTAGTTATATAATTACAGAACCATTCATGTGGATCGCTAGCTGGCTTTCATACACTTAAACTCTTTTCCTGTCTAGTTTAAGGGTAAAGCGTTAGTATTTCTAGCACACATTGACACTGATTATTGTAGTTAACATTGCTATAAAAAGGAACAACAAAAGTATCTAAAAATATAGCTAGCCTTATGCTATTTGTCATTTGCTAACAGCTATGTTAATTATTTATCGGCTGAACTGCAGCTAATGTTCAGTACTGCAGCAACATGTTGTGTAATACTATACACAACTTTATATAGATAGTGTTATTAACAACACACTGGAATTTATCACCATGGTAAAAATTTTAGCTAAATACTCTCTTTCATGAAGTATACAGTTTTCTCCACAGACAAATTGAAAGATACCCCACAACAATGTGAAAGGCTGACGTCAGATTACAGGAAATGCTGGTTGCAGTTTTTTTGTTGCTATTGACCATGTTAAACCTTCAAAGGTTTTTAGAAACTTTCACATAAACTTTAGTAATACAAACTGAGTTGTGATCCATTAATAACTGAATGAATAACTGACTCTAAATGTAGGTATTGTGATATAAACTGAGTCTGTTCTACAGTTTCTCATTAAGTTGAATGAATAACTGCCTCTAAATGTAGGTATTGTGATATAAACTGAGTCTGTTCTACAGTTTCTCATTAAGTTAAATGAATAACTGGCTCTAAATGTAGGTATTGTGATATAAACTGAGTCTGTTCTACAGTTTCTCATTAAGTTAAATGAATAACTGGCTCTAAATGTAGGTATTGTGATATAAACTGAGTCTGTTCTACAGTTTTTCATTAGGTTGAATGAATAACTGGCTCTAAATGTAGGTATTTTGATATAAACTGAGTCTGTTCTACAGTTTATCATTAGGTTGAATGAATAACTGGCTCTAAATATAGGTATTATGATATAAACGCAGTTGAAAGCCACAGTAACATTCTGTTTATTTCTGAGGGAGAGAGGTTAGAAAATCGTCTTAAAAAAATGAATTATCATTGTTTAAAAGTTCAATGAACCACTTCTAATAAATAATGTTTTACAGATGGGAGAATATCAGAGCCCTGATGAGTATCTTACATCTGAGCAGCAGCTATTCAACATCAACACATCATGAGCACATGACAGATTACAGCAGTTCTTTAAAAAACTGTCTACAGTTGCTGAATGTCTTTTTTTAACGTTTATTTCTTTTCCAAGTTTCAACTTTTAATTTGAAATCTTTTCAAACTCTCTTCTAAATCATTTATGATATTGTGCAAAGAAAAAAATAAAAAAAGTAACTTTCCACATCCACAAAAATATGTAATAACTTCCATGCCAGTGTTCACTTATTTTCATCTATCATTTTACAACTAATGTGCAATATGTATTGCAAAAATGTTGGGACAGTAAATAACATTCCAAGAAAAACAGAAAGCAGTGTTTGGTAAATTCTGTTTCTGTTTGTATTCAATTGAAAAAAGTACAAATATAGGATATTTTTTCTTTTGTTGTACCTTAAATTTTGTTTCCTAAATATCTGCTCAAACCAAATTTAATACCTGTAAATGTTAAAAAAAAAAAACAGAACAGGAGCATGTTTACTGCTGTTTACCAACATTCTTACCAATAATTTAATCATTTTGGGAATGAAGACACCAATTCATCATCAGCATTATGTTACTATGATATATACTAAGCTACAAATTCAGTAGTTATGACGTGATGTCATTTCTGACAAAAATCATGAAAACTCAATGTCAGAAAAATCAAAGTTACCTGAAATAGATGTTGTATCAACTTGCCTCTAATAAGGGAACAAGCAATTCACCTGCTGATTGACAAAGATCAGAAATAAAACTGCATGTGACAGCATTTTAGAAGAGTATATCTTACTTATGGAGGGAAGATCAACCAAAACCCACTACTTACAAGTTGCATGGAGTTACACATTTCCACAAGAGGGGTTTACAAATTACAAATAACAAACAAAGTGCAGCTTTAACATTTTAATTAGTCAGTGTGATGTGTCATAGAGTAAAGTGAAATTTCATAGAATAACTGTGGTTAAGATGTAAACAAATCCACTCAGAGTGGTTTGATTTGAAATGCTCCTACAAACAATGTTGTCTTTGTTAAACAATATAAATCAAATTTAGTTTTAAATTCATTTTCCAGGATATTCATGCTTTCCTGCCCGATACATCCATTCCAATTTTTATATAGTAATTTTTAAAGACCCTCAATGCTCTAAATGGTTTTTAAATAAAGTGTAATGTGCCAGAATGAGTCAGACGTTCGCGGTTAAAAGGGTCAGATGTGTCTTTACTGATGAAGACAATATCCGAGCACGTAGTCATAAAACAAGCGTGGGTCAGATCCAGGAAGTACAACCAATACACAAAGACAAACATAACACTAGGCAATCAATCCAAAAAGGGACAGGCAAAGGCAGAGTAGAGAAAACAGGCAAAAACACAGTGGTCAAATGATAAGGGCAAACAATCCAAGGGTTAAGGGTTGAAAAACAGGAAACAATGGTCATAAACAGGAATCTCACAATATAATGCACAGTAGATCAATGATGATTCAATACCTCTCAACTAGCCTATGCTAAAGCCCAGGCTTATAAACCTAACTAATAAGGTCATATGACATATCACACAGGTGCATAGAATCAGCACTCCAGTGAGCGAGAGCGTGAAGGGAGATCAGCAGTCATGTGAGCCCATACGTGGTTCGTAGCCCATTGGATGCATGACATAAAGAAATCAATGCTATGCTGAAAGCATTTTTTCTGAGAACAGCAGCTTTTTCTTTGATTTCTTCTTTTGTGTTTACACATCCTTTCAGACCCAAAGTGCTGAATTGTCTTCTCACAGTGGAAGGATGGACAGAAACACCTGTAGATGTTTTCAGATCTGAACCAAGAATGAAACAATTGAGAAGTCCAGTTTTATCATTTTTTGTCACAAATTCACTCCTTGCATTCTGCGTTATGATGCATTTGGTAACACTTTACATTAAGGGTCGCTAATTAATCATTAATTATATAATAACCAACTATTAATTTCCCATTATTTAGTTATTAGTTAACTCTTCATTAAGCATTAGCTATTACTAGGAATTGATTAAGCACTCATCAATTAGTAATTAAGTACACTGTTAGTTGATAAGTTTGTCGTTAATTTATGGCTTACTCATTATCTGTGTACTAACTGCTGCTTATTACATTGTTAATGAACTAATAAACATTTTTATTCATATAAAGAAGTAACATGATAACTTACTAGCACTTTTGTTTATTAAAGATGTTTATGGTCACATCTGACTGTAAGATGAGCGCACACAAATTCACTGACGGTTTTGTTATTCATCACTTTCATCTTTGGCATATCTGTACAAACTAACTCATATCTGGTAGGAGTGCATGTAAATTTGGGCATAAATGCCGGATATGTGGCTAATTAACCAAAACTATTATCAACATAATCTGTAATTGTGAAAATAAGAACAACAATAGAAAATATCAATAATACTAATTTGTGTGTATGACAGTCCAGTACAAAATTGGATGTACTTACTTTACATGCACATTAATTTCATGTTCCATTTAAAGACATTATACTGTGCTTTTGTTGTCATACACTGCAAGAATACAGCGTTTATTTTAGGGAATTAATTACACTAAACAATCACTCTACTATGTTAACAACACAGAGTATTTTGTTTATTTCACATTTTATTTTTTTTTCCAGTTGATGTCATTTTAATACTATTAAGTTTGGTCAGCAGGGGAGGAGTGCACTCACTGCTGGACATCAAACTCCACCCACGAGCACATGCACTGAAGCTGATTTATCATTTATGCTCAAATCTCCACTTGTTTCCACATCGTACAAAATTGTTATGAATCAGACGCAGAGCAGTTCATACCTTATAAAAGGCAAAAAAACGTGTTTTTTTTATACAACTTTGAAGATTAATGGCCTTTTGATCTTTACATTTTGACCATTAATTAGGTCTTAAATTCCTCTTACTCAACCATTCATTGCTTCTTAAATTCCTCTTAATCATTAATTACTGCTTTTGTGTCCCTCCAAGTAGTGACAACCTTTTCCATTAATTATACTATGAACTAATGTTTAAGGCATGACTACTTATTGATACATTAATTGCTCTTTACTTTTTTTTGTGTCCCCACTTGTGTCCAAGTGGAAAACACACATACTTTCTCTATTAACATGTTTATTCTGAATGATTTTACTCAATAAACCAAACAGAACCGTTGTAAAGCACCACCACTGGACTCTAGAGCAGTGGAGACGTGTTCTCTGGAGTGATGAATCATGCTTCTCCGTCTGGCAATCCGATGGATGACTCTGGGTTTGGCGGTTGCCAGGAGAGCGGTAATTGTCTGACTGCATTGTGCCAAGTGTAAAGTTTGGTGGAGGGGGGATTATGGTGTGGGGTTGTTTTTCAGGAGTTGGGCTCGGCCCCTTAGTTCCAGTGAAAGGAACTCTTAATGCTTCAGCAGACCAGGACCAAGATTTTGGACAATTTCATGCTCCCAACTTTGTGGGAACAGTTTGGGGACGGCCTCTTCCTGTTCCAACATGACTGCCCACCAGTGCACAAAGCAAGGTCCATAAAGACGTGGATGAACTTGACTGGCCCGCACAGAGTCCTGACCTCAACCTGATAGAACACCTTTGGGATGAATTCCTCTGGAAGAATGGTCAAAAATTCCCATAAACACACTCCTAAACCTTGTGGAAAGCCTTCCCAGAAGAGTTGAAGCTGTTATAGCTGCAAAGGGTGGGCCGACATCATATTAAACCATATGGATTAAGAATGGGATAAGAGCTCCAAGAGCTGCAGCATCTCCTGCTTCATTCTTCACTGTCACGGGACGGACAGCGAAGAATGGTCCAACGTGACTCAGTATTAAATTTTGCTACATTAACTTCCCTTGAAAGTTAAGAATATTTATTCTTTTCCTGCAAACTTAATTTTTTGGAGATATGAAGGTTGTTCTGACAGCGATGATAAATTATTACACAGTATAATGTGGAGTCAGCGAAGAAGAAGACCCATTTACACAAAGCATTTCAAACGAGTGCTCTTTTATTAACATAGCAGCAGAGGAGACCCACTGCTCAGCGCTGCTGAACGGCTGTGAAACAAGGTAGGTCACCTCCAGCCACACATCCAGTCTAAGGTGACCACTAAACCTATCCAACCAGCCCTGCAGCCCATCTCAGAACATAACAAACAACACATACACACAATGTTATATACTACTGTTTCTAACTGATACATATATAAAATAAACCCTCAGTAGTCTCAAATTTCACTCAACTTGTAATGGATTTGATTATTGCTGTGATTAAGGTCAATAAATATAAAAGGGGATCTGGCCACTTCCTATTTTACCCATTATACCAAAAAACCTGTCCTGTAGTTTGTGGTGAACTATTTCTGTAGAACAGAGCATGTTTGATAGCATCAGTGGTGCAGCGGAGTGGCAGAAAAAGACAGATAATAAAGCTTGATAAAGCCAGAAAGCAGGCAGAACGTTCATGTTACTTCAAGGCTTAAAGGCTTCAGAACACAATGGAACAAAACTTACTTTTTCTGCAATTAAAAAAGTTTTTAAATTGATGTAAACTAAAACAATTGAAATATCACACAAACAAGTATTCAGGCTCTTTGCTATGACACTCAAAATGGACAACAGGGGGCAACAAAAGGCTGGTAAAGTTGTGTAATGCTAAAAACCCCTGGTGGTTAATTGGCAACAGGTCAGTAACCATGATTGGGTATAAAAAGAGCATCACAGAGTCTCAGTCTTTCAGAAGTAAAGATGGGGAGGGGTTCACCACGCTGTGAAAGACTGCATGATCAAATAATGCAACAATTCAAGAATAATTTTTCTCAATGTAAAACAGCAAAGGACTTTTGCTTTTCATCATCTATGGTACATAATATCATTAAAAGATTCAGAGAATCTGGAGAAATCTCTGTATGCAAGGGACAAGGCCAAAAACCAGTATTTGCTGGCTGTGATCTTTGGGCCTCAGGCAGCACTGCATTAAAAACAGATATGATTCTGTTGTGAAAACACTGTATGAGCTCAGAAACACTTCTGAAAACCACTGTCTGTGAAAACAGTTGGTCGCTGCATCCACAAATGCAAGTTAAAACTCTAAAACATAAAGAAGAAACCATATATAAACAGGATCCAGAAATACTGCCACTTTCTTTGGGCCTGAGCTCATTTAAAATGGACTGAGGGGAAG